AAGACTGCTTTGAAGAGAAGACACAGACATTCTCTCTCAATTTTCAATGGCAACGCCGTTTCGGGAACATGGTTTTATTTTGCTGTGACCACTTTTGCTCACTCTAGTCATTCCAACCTTTCTTTTCACCAACACCCAAAAAAGTCCTAACGGTAATGATCAGCGTTTTATTTTTTTATTTATTTAACTACCATTAGATGACAACAAAAAAGTGGTTATGGAGAGGTTTATAAAGTACTTTTACTGCGAATGCTGAGTTTGAAGATGCCCTTTGAAACCGTTTTTCGATTTGAACGTTTGTTGACACACGGAGCACTGAAATGGTCGAGAGTCGCTGTGAATTAATTGGTGCTGAAGGAGAGTACCCTTTTTTCCAAAAGATTTAGAGCAAATTGTACATTTGTGCACTTTAATGCCAGTGTGAATCAGCATGTGTGTCTTGAGAGTACTTTTCTGCCCAAATGATTTAGAGCAAATCGTACATTTGTGCACTTTAATGCCAGTGTGAACAAGCTGGTGCTTTAAGAGATTACCCTTCTCCCCAAATGATTTGGAGCATACTGGGCAATGGTAAGCTCGAATGCCTGTGTGAACAAGCTGGTGCTTTCTGAGGACATCAGGCCTATTGAATGATCTGGAGCAAATTGTACATTTGTGCGCTCGTATGCCAGTGTGCACCAATTGGTGTCGCTTGAGTTGAGATGAAGATGGAAAGCTTTTGTCGCACTGCTGACACTTGTGGATTTTAGCTCGTCTATGACGACGATTTAGCTGTTGTTCACTTGATGCACTCCTCGGACTACGGTTGACCACTGGTTCGGTGTTTTGCTGAGACTCTGCAGAATGAAAAGTGTTAGTTAAAATATAAAATGAAATGTAAACAAACAACTGACCACTGACTGCTGCAAACTGATTATCCTCATCAATTTCAGTAGCATCAGATTCCGTCTCGGCATCTTTGTTGACTGCTTCACTCGTTTCATTGGCATTCTTTTCACCAGAAAAATTTCGTTCCATAATCGCATGAAACTCATCATCAAACATATCAATTGCAGATTCAGTCTGCTCTTCTGTTTTCATCACAGATTCAGTTGACAGGGATTCTAAATAGAAGGAACATTAATAAAGTGAAAGTTGGAAAAATGAATCATCCACTTACCATTGCCTGCTAGTTGATCAACATTTTCTAAAACACGATCATCAGTCTCTGAATCTTCTTCTTTCACTTGCACATCTTCATTTTCCTCTTCTTCATACACACAATCCAACTCATCGTCGTACATATCAGTAGCTCCAGACAGCTGCTCAGTCTCTGACATTTTTCTTCGTGTGGTTAAAAGCTGAAGATGAATTTCGCAGCTGAAGAAGACAAAAAGAAAAACTAAAATGAAAACAAAACAGACACAAACAATCGCTAGTCAACTGCCTGTTCACTGTGTTATCTCCCCGCTAGACCACAGTATTCCCCAGGGCCCTAGAGCAATTGTCAAACTTTTGATTTTCCCTCAATTTTCAATAGCAACGCCGTTTTGGAAACATAGTTTTATTTTGCTGTGACCACTTTTGCTCACTTTAGTCATTCTAACCTTTATTTTCACCAACTACAAAAAAGTCCTAGTAGCAATGACCAACGTTTTATTTTTATGTTATTTAACTATCATTGGAGGACAGCAAAAAAGTGGTTATGGAGAGGTTTATAATGGTACTTTTACTGCAAATGCTGAGTTTGAAGATGCTCTTTGAAACCATTTTTCGATTTGAACGTTTGTTGACAGACGGAGCACTGAAATGGTTTAGAGTCGCTGTGAACTACTTGGTGTCTCGTGAGATAACCCTTCTGTCCAAAAGATTTAGAGCAAATCGTGCACTTGTGCGCTTTAATGCCAGTGTGGACAAGCTGGTGTTTTTTGAGATTACCCTTCAGCCCAAATGATTTGGAGCATGTTGGGCACTGGTAAGCTCGAATGCCAGTGTGCACCAGTTGGTGTCGATTGAGAACACTCTTTCGACCAAACGATTCGGAGCATGTTGAGCACTTGTGCGCTTTAATGCCTGTGTGAACAAGTTGGTGTTCTTTGAGGGCATCAGGCCTGCTGAATGACTTAGAACATGTTGTACATTTGTGAGCTCGGATGTTATCGTGAATCAGCTGGTGATTTCTGAAAGTAGATTTGTCTGCAAATGATTTGGAGCAAATTGCGCATTTGTGCGCTCGTATGCCAGTGTGAATCAGTTGGTGTTTTTTGAGAGTATCTTTCTGCCCAAATAATTTGAAGCATGTTGGGCACTTGTGCGCTTTTATTCCAGTGTGCACCAATTGGTGTCGCTTGAGATCAGATGGAGATGGAAAGCATTTGTTGCACTGCTGACACTTGTGGTTTTTAGCTCTTTTTTGACGACCATTCTGCTGTTGTTCACCTGATGCACTGCTTGAGCTGAGATTGACCACTGGTTTGGTGTTCGGCTGAGATTCTGCAAAATGAAAAGTGTTAGTTATAATATAAAATGAAATGTAAACAAACAACTGACCACTGACTGCTGCAAACTGATCATCCTCATCAATTTCAGTGGCATCAGAATCAGTCTCGACATCTTCGTTGACTGTTTCACTCGTTTTATTGGCATTTGTTTCAGCAGAAAAATCCTGTTCCATAATTGCATGAAACTCATCATCAAACATATCAATTGCAGATTCAGTATGTTCTTCAGTTTTCACCACTGTTTCAGTTGACAGGGATTCTAAATAGA